TGGCGGGGGGGGGGGGGGGGGGGGGCGGGGGGGTGTTGGAAAAGGCCAGATCCATTTATAGCTGAAAAGTCTGGCAGAGGGGTCAGCGTTGTGCGGAAAGGCAGGGAGCTGACAGCTCAGTACAGCCAGCTCCAACCAGCAGCAGAGGCAGGCTGGGGAGAGAGACGGGGGGTATGAAAACCAGTTCCCTTCAAGCTGGGAGCGACAGGAGGGAAGGTTGCTCCTCCAGAGTGCCAAGCACGGAAAAACACTCTCTACTTCTGAGTGAATTATAAAAAGTAGGGCAGCAGAAGACTAGCTTTGGAAAAACTGAAGAGCAGCTGAGCTGCAGCTATGGCCAGAAGCATTCGCAGGTCAAGCCCGGGCTGTAGGGCCCTCTGCTCTTCTTCTGAGCCCAGCATCACGTCCACCCCTGCAGCAACCCAGTCCCCTATCACTGGGACAGGGCTAGAGGTGGCTCCCAGAGGGGGAGCTGAGGCTGGGAACCCGCCTTTGCTGGGAGGAATGACAGCTCCCTCGCTCCAGCATGTTAACATTGGCCAACACATAAGTAGATGTAGTAAAAACCCCTTGCCAGCCCCCATGGAAAAAGCTTGCCCCTGAGGACAAGACACCAGTTTAAAGCATCGACATGCGCAAACTTATGCTATGATGACTTCAGCTCCTCCCCACATTACCAGAGAGGTATTTATTTAGCTAACACAATTTAGCTAACAATTGTCCATATTCACAAGTAAAGTTGGGGAAAAACTGCTAAAGCTGCATTAGGGATCACAGAAATGACGAGGCTGTTAGAAAAGTAAATGCAGTCTAGACAAGGCAGTGATAATTCCAGTGCTATTGTACAGGCACTGATGACAGGAGCATCGTACAAAAAAAATTCTGGTCACCCGCATTTAAAAATGATAAACTCAAATGAACAGGTGCAGAAAGGGCCTGGGGGAAAGAGAAAACCTATTAACAAGAAGAAACTTAAGAGCCTGGCTTGTTTAGCCTAGCCAAATGTAGGCAGAGAGCGGATAGGATTGCTCTCTAAATATATCACAGGAGACAAACAAAACTGCTGAAGCAAAAGGATAATGCTGGCACAACAACATGACAATAAATGCACTGTGAACACATTTAGGTTGAAAATTAGAGGGGGAGGAAAAAAAAATATCAACCACCAGAAGAGGAAGCTTTCCAGCTGGAATGGATGGTTTTAGGATGAAGTTTTATCAGTGGTCTGATGGGGTCATAGAACATAGCGCCTCTGCCAACAGATATCCAAGAGGTCCCTTACTCCTGTTTTTTGTTCCCAGCTGGTAATTAGCATGGGTCATTATTCAGACAGCTCCTTTCTTACAACAGACTTTGTTGAGGATCACTCCAGTTGGAGAACCTAGGGCAAGCATGCAGTGCTCCTTCACTCTCCCATTCTGTAAGAGCTGCTCACGAGTAATGACTTCCAGGCTACAGGTCAGTGGAAGAGAGTTGTGTGGACACACACTGATAAAGTGGGAGCCACGGGGCAGCCTAGCAGGAGTCCAGGTGCTGCAGTTAGCCATGTAAAACACCCTTGAGGTGCCTCTGCCCAAAAGCACCTGATGCCCCACACTATTAGTGGCAGAGGTTGCTCCACGTCACCCTGTTGGATTCAGGGGAGAGAGAAGATGCTCTAAGCCCTCCTCTGCTACAGTGTGAGAAAGGTTACCACATCATCACTGCTTATCATCAAAGTGTTATCATTCTTAATCCTGAAACTGCTGCCCAGTGGGCCAGTGTTTAGTTGCTACAGCAGAACAGAGTGTTCAAACCATGAACCTCTACAGCATGGAATAATGAGACAAAGTGGGGGGGGACAAATGAGACGGGACACGGGGAGGATGGACCCAAAGCACATTTGAGGGATTAATTTTTTATACATCTATCAAATCCAACAGCTTCATAAAAGACTAAATTATCATCTCCAGACAGATGACACACACACACACAACCCCCCACCTCCCCCGGGGGACGGCGCACACGAGAAATACCGACCCTCCCACCCCCCACCCCCAGGGCTGCCCGCTCCCCTCCGGACACACCGCCGGCCCG